GGTACTTCACTCACATCCTAAACGTCGCACATGAGCACCGCGAGTTCATGGAAGATGTCGTGCAGCTATTCTTGCAGAGTGCGCCGTACAAGGAAGTTGACGCATGGGTACGTCTTTGCATCATCATCATCATCTAATGTTCCTTCGGGCTAATCCACGGTATGGTCGGACAGAGAGAGTTCGCGTTCAACCTGTTACCGCTTTTGCATCGCCGCATCAAACGCACCATGCCATTGTTGCTCCCGCACCCGCCGCTCCTCGCGCACACGATCTACCAAGCGCTAGCATTCGATGCGGCCCTGCGTGAGGAAGGGTTCGGGTTGGCCGGCACGTACACGGCTGTATCGGCTTCTTCGCCCGTGGTGGAGGAGTGGAATGGCGTCAGCGCGATCATACTCGACAGGAAGGAGTGGCTGGATCACTGGATCGAGTCCGAGCGACACTTTGCGCTGGAGCAGTACAACGATATCGTGCTCGCGCCCGACGCGTGGACGTTCGCGGACGTATCTGAAACCGATGTGCCGGCGCATGCTGGGGAGCTCAAGCCTACCATCTCCGCACGTCGGCTTACGGCGCTTCTGGCGGGCGCAACGGATCGTATGGCGCCGCTGCCCGCCGCATCGCAGCGTGCGCGATTCTTGACGGCTGTCCAGCTCCCGCTCCTCGACTCGTATCGCGCCCGCGTGTCAGCATCGCTTGACGCGTTTGAGACTCTCAGTCACTCGCTCGTGCGCGCTGTCCCCGGAGCATTGAGTGCGGCAGTCACCAGCGAACGTCGGGGCGCGGCGCATCTTACCAGTGGAGTCGAGGGCGCAGGAAGGCTGATCAAGGCTCTTATGAGCGCGATGTGGGTTCGACAGGCTATGGAGGGGTGGGGCGAGGAGATCATCTTCCTCGAGCTGTGGGCGGATATGCACGTCAAAGCCGCGCTGCGCGTACGCGCCGAAGGCAATCCTCTCTTGCCCAACCCCGCACCGACATCGTCAGCAGTTGATGCTACGCCCGACGGCACACTGTTCGACGTACTTGTTGCAGCATATGCCGAGCTCGTACGGCGCGCGGAGGATATGCTCGTTCAGCTCGTCACGGCTGAAGTCGAAGGGCTATTGAAGCCTTACTTCGCTGAGCTGCATGGTGATGATCAGCCCATGTCATCGGCCGATACGCTCATCAGCCCTGCTCTCCTTCCCGGATTGGCTGTCTTTGGCCAACACATCCAAGCGCTCGCGCAAGTTCTTCCGCTCAGCACTCTCCGCGGAGTATACAAGCGTACCGCACAGGCTCTCTGCACGCATATCCTCCAACGCGCACTACTCTACCGTCGGCCAGGCCGTGTACCCGTTGAACAGGGCAAACGGCTTCAGGGCGAGATGGCGCTGTGGGCAGAGACGGCGCGCGGAGCGTTGCCGGCTGGTGTTAGGGCCGAGGCGCCATGGGCGAGGCTCGTGCAGGCGGGCAGAGTCGTCGGTGCTGAGGGCGATGTCTGGGAGGGCGTGTTGAGGGTTGCGAGCGGGTTGTTTGGGCTGGATAAGATGGAGGAGTATGTTGGTGGGACGGAGTTGAGCGAGGAGGAGGTCGGGATGATTGTTAGGGTTCGGGCGGATTATGATGCTTGAGGTGTCCCGTCGTCCCTTACTCAGGCCAGCTTAAGGATCGATGTACAATTTCATCATAAGATTGTAGTGTATACGGTACATGCATCAACAGACACCAGGAATATATCTGTACGGAACCCTCCTCGCCCATTCATCCCACCTCGACCCAAACTTCTCCCGCAACGCCCTATCCTCCGCCGGTGCGCGCGAAACCACCATCACAAGCTGCAGTACCGCACAGATGCCCAGTAAGCCCATGAACTTCCCACAGATGCTGTCGAAGATGTGTGCCTCGATCCACCATGAGCCGGGGGATAGCTCGCATGCAGATATGCCAAAGAATGTGAGGATGAGGGCGGTGTAACCGGGGTGGCGCACGTAGGCGTATGGGCCGTCCGTGATAAGTTGGTGCTCTTCCAGGATGGAGAGTTGGAAGGTGAAGTGTCGTCCCATTGCCTCGTATGACCAGTAGCGTAGTATCCCGCCCAGTAAAGAGCACATAACGCCGGCCAGGAATACGGGGGACACTGTATTGGCGTTGGAACGGTCTCGTGATCGCATGTTCTTGTCCGAGTTGGGCGCTTCGTCGATGGGGCCATAGCCGGCAATTCCGGTTGTAAAGGCCGCCTCGGCGAACATAACGTAGGTGACGAGAGACTGAAGGGGGGATACAGTGTCAAACGTCTAAGGTGAGGGAGACACAACTCACGTTGACAATCATGCGTCCAGCATCGCGTTTCTGTAGCAGCTTGGCGGCCCAGCTAAGCTCTTCGTATGGCCGTTGGGTTTCTGGAGGAGCTGCTACAGGCGGAGGCGTAGATACTACCATATAGCTTCCCCAGACGGCGAGCAAGCATGGCACCTTCCATAAGGGCATCTTTCGTGGTGGTAGTCCCGAAGGGACGGACCGCGCGCATGGACAGGGCGCTAAACACGGCTCAGAAGGCCCAGCGCTCTTGCCTGTACCACCATCATGCAGACCAACGTCATCGCGGATCCTGTCGGTACTCCAATTGCGGCTGGAGGATACTCAGTGCCGGAAAATACAGAGTTCGTCTGTATGGGACTGACCTGGCCATCAAACTATGAGGGGCTTCTGTATACAAATGCGGCCATCATCCGAGTGCGAGGAGTCTCAGCACTATGCACTGTCAGAGATCCCGCCAATCGCTTTGGCGCCTCGGAGAGCCATACGACCAATGTGCACTGCGTAGATCTAAATCCATCATGATCATTGGGGATCCGTAGCGCCAGGTGGGTCATGATGCATGACGGAACAGACGGCTCTCCTTGCAGTGCACGTAGCGGCATTCACACTGTCGCCGAGTTCATTATCGTTGCGTAGCCTCTTCCTCTTTCGGGCTATCTTTCAGAGTTCAATGTTGACGAAGTGGCCACGAAGAGGATGCCCCACGTACAGTGACGTTCTAGGCTACATGGCTATGGTTCGCTCTTGGCGAACTCCCTTCCTGGATAAAAGCAAGTCATGTGTACGCACTCGCGGCTTACTGTATGGCTGTCAGTTTGAGGAGAGACCTGCGAGCTGTGCTCTCCGTCCCGGGATCCTAGTCCTCCAATGGGCATCTTATACCTCATACTCGCACGTTCGATGCCCGCTCATCATGATTCCAGGCAATCTCTACGCCCTGTTATGATCTACCCCAGCTATAAAGGCTTTCATGCCCTCTTTCTATTGCCAAGCTCTCTAGGTCTCAACATGATGAACTGGAACAGCGCTGGAACCCTGCGCGAACAAGCTTGTAGTTGACGACGCTCTGTCTTGCGTCGTACACTGACCTCGTCCATCAGTCGCACTCGATTCTATCACAGCTACATTCATTGGTGTCTACGTGTACGTTCTGCTTTGCGTCTCTCCATGGATGAAGTGACTGAGAGATGCTCCCTCCCTTAGATACGAGTTCGCCATCTCTACCAAGTTCGATTGGATGCTCGTCAATAGAAGCGATACTGGGCGGGCTGTAGTGGCGAAGAGTGTTAAATGGGTATGTTGCTTGTTATCTCAAACACGATACGTAGAAAGGATACTTCTGATGGCGTATCAGCTGTACATGTTATGCAGATACTCGTGCCTCGCCAACTGCGTGGGACTGGCCTTGGCAGTCTTTCACGGAAGGCAGGATTGCTCAGTCAGTACAAGATCGATGCGTGTACCATACCCCAATTAACGAACCATCCAGATCGTAGCCAAGGTCGTGAACGTGAGCATCGCTATTTGCTTCTCAGAATGGTGTCATGAACGAAGACTTCTGGATCTCATCCTCAGGCTACCGGCATCATCGCCGTCACCAGTAGTACAATTCTGCTCTTCATCAGGGTGTACGTCCGAACATCTCTCTGTCACTAGTGCCATACTCACGAGATATAGCGGGGTGGTACGGAAGTGGAACAAATGGATCACTGCGATCTTCGCATGCGCCTTCGTGGCCATCTTCGCGCTAGGTGTTCGCGGTGAGCCTTCCGTCCCATCTTGAACACGTGTTTGGACACTGACTTCCAATCTTTTTTTTCAGTCATAGTGAAGGTAGGATCAATAGTATCCTGACTCCTGCTATGGCTGAGTGATATATGCATCATCCAGGTTCACGGCCAAAGCAATGGCCTCACAGGCCCCGCCTGCACTACGACTGGATTCACCACTATCCTGCCGAATGTGTTCATGAATCTCCTCGTGGACGGATCACTGCTCCTCTTTCTCTTTGCGGGACTGCGGCGCTGGACTCATTCACGCAAGTTCAATGTCTGGAATCTTCTCTGGAACCAGGTGAGATATCGCCATGCATGGCCCACTCCTCATGAAGAAAGGAGCCCTGATGCGCTCTTCAGGGCCTTGTTTATCTGTCTCTGGCAGTGATGATTGAACTGCCCATGACCGTAGGTCGATTCATTCTTCCACGATCAGCACGAGATTGATAAAGATATGGAAGATATTTCTCTTCCTGAACTTTAATCGTGACTACGCTCTATCTCCATCTCCTGACTTTACGTTGACAGCGTTTCAGCTATAATGCCCTTGGTCAGTACTTGAACTTACCTTAATCCCTCATTTGCACGACTGATCTTTACCCTAGCTATTCTATTCACCATTCTGTGCGTCATACTCCATTCAACATGCTCACACTCTTGACCCTCGACTCATAGCTATCATTTTGTGAGCATTCTGCTAGGGACTCAAGGCGTCGCGTATTAATCCCCGGCCGATAGACCGATCGCCGCGACGCGTTTCTATCGATCTTTAACGACCTTTAGGAAAGGTCGGACTCACTATACTTATGAGTCTATGTGAGTAACCGCAAACTTTCCTCTGGACCGGCAGCTGTCTGATAATGAACGGGAAGGGTCGTTATTCCTGTACCGCGCATGCCCAACACGACAGGGCGGAAGCCTTTCGAGACACCCGAAAGGTCCAGCTCTGGGCATACAATGGGATATGAGATGGATGATATCGCTAATAGACCCACGTGAGTGCTGTTCGGTGCTGCGGTTGCGGCTGGGTGTATGCATGTATGAAGTAAAAGGCAATCGCATTTACAAGGATGGACCTGAGAAGCAAGGGATATGCGTGACACCTTTCCTGTCGGCGCAGAGGACGATCATACATTCGCTCTTCGTACTGTACATTGTTCCACTGCTGAGCATTCTACTTCGTGAAGACTATCGCACGTTGAGCACGCCAATCACAATAGCAGAACAGCGAGGAACTCACTAGAAACAACGTCCTCATCCTGCACGAGATGATTCAGCCCAACCTTCTGCGCATGCGGACTGAACTTGCTGCTGCGACCCCAAACGAGCGCGTATCGGAAGTTTGAGGCCAAGCTTCGGTGGATACCGTTACACACGTCCTGTACATATCGCATCGTCAGGGCGCTGTCACAAGAGGGACGCATACAAGAGGGAATCATGCCTCGACGGTCGAGCCCCGACGCATGCATACGGGGTCGTCGAGATCTGGGTGTGCACCGCGTTTCTTGGTGTATATCCGTACGAGATTGAGTTCGTCCCACATCCTGTCCACAAGGCCTGTCAAGCTGCGATGCGTGAGCGCTTGCACTTGATTGGGAGCGAGAAGGGTGGAGGAAGAGATACGTACTTCAAGCCCATCTCGCAACTGATCACCGCCGTGTGATCTTCGCGCGCTAGACGGTCCATAGTTTCGAGCGAGATGCTGTCGATCTTGTTGTACACGTCTAATTCAGCGGTTCAGTGGGAAGAAGACATGAAAGGCGTGGGAGCAACGGACAGAGGCAGGGGATATATTTGCGCGTGCCGATGAGGACGTCGATGAATTCGTCTGTTGTGATGTCTTCGCGGATCATGACGTCGCAGTTGTGTAGCTTATCTGGTGGCGAGTGAGTAACGAACGATGCTGAAAGCGAAGAACCGTAGCGTACAACTGGCAAGAATCATGCGAATGGTCTTCTCGTCCGTCTTTGTGAGCTTCACCGTCGCAGTAAATGTGATCTACGCGACTTAAGTACCAGCCGCACATAAGAAAGATACAATACGCACGCCGCCGGTTGTCCTCTTCTTGAACACCACATCTGGCTTTTTCTTGTTCAACCTGATACCAACAGCATCCAACTCGATCTCCAATAGCCGCCTCTGCTCCTCGCTCTTCGTCGCGTCCAACATGATGCAGATCAAATCCGCCGTCTTAGCCGTACTGACGACCTGCCGTCCACGACCTCTACCCTGACTAGCGCCCTCCACGATACCAGGTAGATCAAGCAACTGTATCCTCGCGCCCTGATACTCGATCACACCCGGGATAGCAGTGAGCGTAGTGAACTCGTATGCGGCCGTTTCAGATGCAGTGTGCGTTATTTTGGATAATAGAGTGGATTTGCCGACGGAGGGGAAACCGATGAGTGCTACGCGGGCATCGCCGGACTTTTGGACGTCGAAGCCTGTGCCGGCGCCGCCGGATTTGGTCGGAGGCTCGAGGAGCTGGGCGCGGTAGCGTGCGAGTTTGGCTTTGAGGAGACCGAGATGGTATTCGGTCGCCTACTGCACGGTTAAGCATTCCCAGTAGTATTAGATAGCGTTCGAAGTACCTTGTTCTTCTGCGCTGTACAGATAATTAGCCAAAAATAGCGATGTCAAGATGTAGATATGACGCACTCCTCGCCATCTCCTCTGCGCGGCAAGATTAGCTGTACGAACATGCCTGAACGGGGAGATCGTACCCTCAATATCCTTGATCTAAGACATATACATCACTCAGCAAAGGGTTCGGTACAGTACAGCGATGCATTTGCCTTTTCTACGACACCCATGACCGCGAAGCTCGAGAAAAGGCAGATGGAAGTCCGAAAGCAAGAAGCCGATCTGAGTCTTGCCGCTGCCGCCGGATCCGAAGACGCGGCTCGTTGACGCGCCGAAGTCTGTTGAAATAAGCTCTTTGAGCTCGACGTCCACGTCGACGACCGGGCCTGTCCTGCACCAGCTTCGGACGCCTCGGATATCCCTCTTCACAAACTGGACATTGGCAACGAGAGGCTGATCCGCGATCATTGGATTATTGCTTCAAGCGCTCGTAGTGCGGACCGTGCCCTGCTCGTGCCCTATAAGCTACCCCTCATACACGTTTTCCTTCGTTCTTTAGGCTTCTGCGTGCTACGTAGGCTGTGACGTTGCCTTGAATCTCTGACCTTCGCGCTCTCTCTTCGGGATCTGTATACTCCAAATAATGCGACGGCACCCCTCACAGTCGATGTACCCGCACTCGGGTCTGGATAATCTGGCAGAGGAGGAGGAAGAGGATGAAGATGAGGAGGATGGATGGATCGGCCAGCAGCCTGTTCGACCGTCGCCGTACACAGCGACCAGCGCATCTTCAGTGCCCACCCGGCTACGGTCCACTCGCCACACCTCCTCTTCCTCAGCTGGGAGCGCGTCTTCGTCCTCTGGCCCCTCCCCATCACTCTCCCAACCACACGAGCCGATGAAGTACAACAGATCAAACCTGTACTCCTCGTTCCTGCACCGCTACCAATCACGTCGAGAAGACGACCCGCAGAACGACCCGGACAGCCACTACCACCAGCACGGGCTCGAGCAGTTATTGGACGGAGGGGACAGTGACGACGAGGACCTCGCGCGCGTGGCGTTAGGCGGTCTATCAGATGGGAACGACCGGCTGTCGTCTCTCATGCTGGAAACGGACGCGTTGGAACCTGAAACGCTGGAGGACCGTGAGAGGTTGGAATGGCAAACCATGCTGGCCAGTGTACTCGACGGCGACGTGCTCAAGAGCGAGAAGAGCCGCATCGCCTCTGCATTGGCCGGTAGCACGGACGAGAAGAAGAACCTGAGGCTGAACCTCTGGTATGGTATACGCGCGCACATGCGCGTATGCCCAGAGACGGAGGAGAGGCGGCACGTTGAGGATCTGCGGAAGGACACGACGGACCCGGTCATCAATGAGGTGTTGACATTCCGCGTCATCAGTTCTGAGAGCGACCGAGATCCTGGCGCTACGGCTCTTGCTCAAGTCAACGAGGTCATTCATCATCTCGACGTCGTGCAGTCGTTGTACCCCGCGCTCAGAGCGTTTGAGGATGACAAGCCTATGGTCGCGGACGATAAGTTCGCACAAAGGCGTGACACGCTCATCACTTGGTCCAACGTCTTCACCTCTCTCCGACATCAGATCAACGTGTTGCGGACATGGACGGGCAGCGAGACGCTTGACGTTACAGCGCCTAGCGAAGGCGATGGCGGGAACGGGATTGGGCTGCGGTACGGACGCGGAGACGCTGGTCCTGGTCCGGATAAGACGACCTTCCTCGAGCGCGTGTTGAAGGAGGAGAGCATCCAGATGACATTCGCCAAGGGCTTCATGACTACTGTACACTCCCTCATCGCAAGCGCACGCGACGCACAGGTCAACCGCGCAGGACTAATGGGCGAGATGAACCTCCCGACGTTCGAGCGGGAGTTGATGCCACTCATCAGCTTCCCGACCCAACTCGCTCTGGCCAGCTTACAAGCCCTCCTCGGCTACGCCCAACGTCTACGCGATCCAGAAGTCATTATCATAGACCAAATGACAGACGACCTCAAGCTAAACATCGGCATCGCATGCACGCTGAAACGCCAATACGAAGCCTTCCTCTCACCCGACCCCAACGGCAACTGGAACCTCCCACACTCGATCGACGACAACTACGACCGCGTCATTCTCGAAGCCCTCTCCTTCATCTTCAAGCTCCTTCACTGGAAACTCAAGTCCGGCGCCAAAGACATCTACTTCAAAGAGACGGACGTGATCGAGGCACAGTGGCCCATCTTCAACGACGTCGCTTTGACCGTGCCCGGGGGCGCCAGTGTAGTCGCGGAGCAGTTGTGTGGGCTCACGAATCGGTTGATGGTCCGCGTCACGAACTTCTTTGAGACGCAGGTTAGGGTGCCGATCAATGAACGGAATGGAGGGGCGATGCCGACGGCTAATGCGAAGATCGCGCTGGGCATGTCGGGAAGGAGCAATATGAGCGACCAGCAGCTCGTGAACTGGTACGCCAAGATCCTCGAGAATGTGCGCTTGCGGTACCGTAAGCTGCAGCGTTTCGTACGGTAAGTCTGCACTCTGCATTTGCGCGCCTGTTCGCCACAGGTACTGATTGGCGCCCAGGGTCATCAATCAGCGCTTCAGCAATAGCGCCGAGTACACCCTCGACGACGTCCCGCTCGAGCTCTTCATCGCCCACCTAGTCGAGACCGACCATTTTCTCGTCTACACACAGACATTCGAGGAAGAGGGTATCTACATCGTTGCCTCTGCCGCTCTTCGCCCGCACCCCGAGCACGTCCGGCGTCTACTCGTCGACGCGTTCCACGTGACCGAGGTTCTCGAAGACGATGGGCGCAAGATCGTGAACATCTACGACTTGAACACCGGAGATATCGATGCGGCTGGGTACCTTCTCGTATTGAGTCCGCAGGAGAGGTTCCTCTGGAACGGGCCGGTCGTGATCATGGACATCCCCAAGATCCCCCTCGATCTTAAGGATAACCGCGTGCGGCTTGTGGCGGATGGCGCACAGCATCGGCTGGTGGTGGCGAAGGAGGAGTTCATGGAGACGTTCATGTTCGTGGACGAGGACGGGCAACCGGTGGACAACGGGATGAAGCTTCCACTCTGTATCGCCGAGCAACAAGCGCATCTCCCCGCTGTCAACAGACAACTACGCAAGATTGGCAGCGCGACGAACCGTCTAGCCGAGGCTATCGTCGATAGCGTGCACCACGTTCGTCTCGCGCTTTCGCACGCGCAGAGGAGGCAGGGGTTACTGGAGCAATGGTACAGCTTCGCGAGCGAACACGGTCTACACGTGCAGAAATACATGGACAGAAGCACGCTCCAGAAGTTCAACCGTCTCCTTATCAAACTCGCCATATCATGGGTCTCCTTCATCTGCGACGACTGCGACCCGAACGACAGGCAAACGTTCCGCTGGGCCGTCAACGCGCTCGAGTTCGCGCTCGGACGGACGCGCAGGAACAATATACTGCAGTTGCCCGACGATCAGTTCGAGATGCTCAGGCAGAAGGTCGCGAGCTGTATGACGTTGCTGATCAGCCATTTCGATATCTTGGGCGCGAGGAGTACGTTGGAGGCTAGGAAGGAGAAGGAGAGGCAGGAGGAGCAGTTCAGGAACGACAGCCGCGATCTGAGCTTGACGAGCGATAACGCGCTCTTACGTGCGCTCAGTGCCGGCAACGCCGGAGAGAGCGGGGGATACGTCGACCCGAACGTGATGAAGTTCTGGGAGCGGACGAGTAGGGCGTTGTCGGAGTTGGAGAACGATAGGGCGAGCATTACGAGCGAGCAGAGGATGAGCGGACGGGTGCTGGACGATGAGAAGTTGGAGGATAGGAGCGTGGTGTTCCTCGCGAGCTTCAGCTCTAACATTTCCATTCGGTGGCAGCAGGGCAAGTTCATCGGTGCCGGCGCGTTCGGGAGCGTGTATAGCGCCGTCAACCTCGATTCGGGATCGCTCATGGCCGTCAAGGAAATCAAGTTCCAGGAGCTGGCTGGGTTGCCGTCGTTGTACTCGCAAATCCGTGACGAGCTGCGTGTCATGGAGATGTTGCATCATCCGAACATTGTGGAGTACTACGGAATCGAGGTGCATAGGGACAAGGTCTACATCTTCGAGGAATTCTGTCAGGGAGGCAGTTTGGCGGGGTTGTTAGAGCACGGAAGGATCGAGGACGAGGGTATCATTCAGGTGTACACGATGCAGATGCTCGAAGGTCTCGCGTACCTACACTCGAAGGGTATCGTTCACCGAGACATCAAACCTGACAGTGCGTTCTTCATTCCTCCCTAATCGCACCAACCTGACTAGCTGGCGACAGATATCCTCCTCGATCATCGCGGCGTGATCAAGTTCGTCGACTTCGGTGCCGCCAAGATCTTCGCACGCAATCAACGATCCATAGCCGCCCGTTCCCGCCGCGCACCCGACTCCAGCACTCCGAACCCAGGTGTCTTCGACGGCGGGCTAGGCATGAACAACAGTCTCACGGGCACGCCGATGTACATGTCCCCCGAGGTCATCAAGAACGACAAGCGCGGTCGACACGGCGCTATGGATATCTGGAGTATGGGATGCGTCGTGCTCGAGTTCGCTACGGGCAAGAAGCCATGGTCGAACTTGGACAATGAATGGGCGATCATGTTCCATATCGGTGTCGCCACGCAACACCCGCCACTTCCCGAACCTGATCAGCTTTCGGCGCTGGGTATCAGCTTCATCAAGGAGTGTCTGACCGTCGATCCCATGCGCAGGCCTACGGCGACCGAACTGCAGGATCATCCATGGATGCTCGAGTTCAGACAGGCGTTGCTGAACTATGAGGAGGAGGAGCTCGCGACGAGTCCTCCTGCCGCGATGCCGAGCGATGAGCAGTATGAGCAGGCGAGCGTCGCGAGACAGGCGGCAATCATCGGCGAGAAGGAGGTCGAGGCCATACAGGCGCCCAGTCCGAGTATGAGTCCGGGTGGGACGCCGGGCGAGGAGAGTATCATCGAAGATGCGGCAGAGTTGCTGGCAGAAGAAGAGGAAGACGGTGTGCTAGTAGGAGAGGGAGGGCAAGAGTTATAGCACTGGTAGGGGGTAGATGCGGCGGTTTCATGTTTCTCGGTTTGGGCTTCGGCGGTTCACTCATTCACGTTCCCATACATGCTGTCTTTTGTGCATACCTGAGTCGGGTTTCAGTTCCTTTCACACAGCTCTTCATCTTCACTACATCATCCGTAACTTATCTGCTTTGACCTTGAGTTTGCTTTCTGGTCCACGTTCTCGTCATCATGCTTTAATGTGTATCGTAGAAGATGTGGGTTAACGGATACATGTAGCTTAACCCTAGCTTCTCGCTGTGTACGGTGTATATGCGTAATCATTCACTATTTGTAAATGTGCAAGAGTCTTATGGTGTAGTGATCAAACGTTATAGTAAGTTACAAGTCCGCGTGTTTGGGGCATGACAAGGTGGCTAAAGTAAGCGCGGTCCGTTGTGAGATCGCGAGCTAGAAAGATTACAACATCCAGCACGGAAGAATACGATCAGGACTCAAATACTTGCTACGAGTCGTCAGTATGCTACATCAGTCTTAGAAGCTACAAGCTGCAGTATGGTATTAGTACGATTATGCGATGAACGCGTCTGCCGGTCCTTCAAGAGATCACAAGCGCAAGTCCATCCATTTCAGAGCCGAGATTCAATCACCCGAACACTCCATCTCTCCATCATCTCCTGCGCCGACTCCGAGGGGACCCCGCTACCACCATCCATACTCCTACGACGTCCCGATCATCTCCACCGGCATGTTCGATCCATGAGATTCCCCTGTGTGTCCATCCCAGTAGAGGTCGGTTACATGCTCCCTCCAAGCTGTGATATCTTGGTAGTCCACAAGGCAACGCTCGATTTGTAGACGACTGAGGGGTTTGTAAGGAATGCCTGCGCGAATCGCAAGCGCGAGCGTGAGATAGGGCGCCGCCGAAGAACCGCCATCGGGAACTGGCTAACGTAGCCCAAATTGACTGCTTCGAAACGCAATGCTGAGAGTGCGGGGAACAGAACAGGTTTATCACCACGCGCGTTCTGGCCGAGTGCATAGCAGAGCTCCAGCACTGTATCCTGAGGTACCTCTCGAAGAGATAGGTCTGTGACAAGGCGCGCATCGGCGAAGACAGATATGAGCAGTTCATCCTGCCAGTGCATATGGCCACTGAGCTGTACTGCGGTCCAATCCTTTCTAAGCAGGTTCGAAAAGAGCTTGCGATAGATGTTGGGGATGTGGTGGCAGGGAACATCGCAGAATATCGGTAATACAACCTTCAGACAGGGACAGGGGTAGGTATGAATGGAGCTCTGAGCGGTGAACTCTTCGTTCGAGCTAACGTCCTCGATATGCGTGCTCATGACGAAGTCGCATAGAGGCTGGTAGTCATACGCTGACAAGTCCAAGTAAACGAATGTTGGTCGCCCGGGGTCCTCGAGGTGGGCAGCCGTGGCTTCGGCCAGAGCATGCAAATGAGAGTCCGTGCAAGATGTAGCGACGCTGGCGTCGACCATCACATACGCCTGAGGGTGCACGCGCAACGACCTCCAAATGCTGACGCTTTGCGATATCTCGTTTTCAATGCGTAAGTCGCGAAGGTGAGGCATCTCGACGGCTGACAGCGACTGAGCCGAGGATCGGATACCGAGTGTTTGAATCAGGAAGAGCTTCTCAAGACAGGGTAACTGACGGAGGGTGTCGAAGAACAAGAAAGCATTGGAGCAGTTGGTCTTTACAAGTGTGAGCGATTGAAGACGCGGGGAAATGCCGCCCAAAGGGTAGGCGATCTGGCGGAGAACGACATGGCGGAGTTCAATCGCGTGGGTGTTGAAAAAGTCGGCCGTTAAACCCGCGGTTTTGTAGGTATCTGATTCGAGTTCCAGCTTCTGAAGTAGACGCAGCGGCTCGGATGGGGAGTTTAGAGCTTGAAGGAGTGATTTCAAGTGGCGACGTCCTGGGGAACCGGGGACGCCGGTCCTGTGTGCATGTGCATTGAGCTCCTTGACGCGTGGGAGGGCTCCTCGGATGAGCTTCCTATAATTGGGAATACGATCGGCCTTTTCCCCGATGCAAGAAAAGACGGAGAGAGGAAGATTGGACGAGCTCTCGGTGAAGAGATCCCAGAGGGGTATGGATAAGACGTTGATATCGGTCCATAGCGACGCGTTGGCCTTCGCAACAGCCCTCCAGTGCCTGCAGACTTGCGTGACAGAGAGCCAACCAATCCGCGTACCAAGGTCCTCGGAGTGTAAGAGTGGAGCTTCAGCCTTGAGACAAGCAAATACACGAGAAAGTATCTCCGCAGGAAGGATGCACGTCATCGAGCACGAGTTGCGTTGTCCTCTAGCCGCCACGAGTAGTGAAGAAAGAGCACGAAGTTCTCGCTCCCAGGCTACGACGTTCTGGCTTGAGTTGGATATACAATTGTAGCTGCCTTGCTGGATCTGACTCATTCGTGTAGAGAGGGCGTTGTCCCAGAAAGACGGCGACGGGCTGCGCGTCATTGAGCGACGCCAATCATACGCGAAAGAAGGTATGCGTACTCATTTTCATCGCGTGGTAGTCCCGCTGATGTCTTCACACTTGTCGCTCCAAGCCTCCAACCAATCAGGAGTAGGAAAGACGCGCCCTTGTAGCGCGAAAAGTTGCGAGACGACGGGAGAAGGAAAAGACGACGCGACGCGTCGACGCGTACAAACGCGGTCATGTGACTGCAGGGCTTCGATGATATCAGATATGATTGGTAGTGCAGGCGCGCAGGCTCTGATCGAGCACCGGGCGCTTAGCGCCCACGCCTGACCTGGGCCTGATTGATCAAGCGAATTGTATCCTAAAAGAGTGATGAAGAAGAGTCGTGTGGAAAGCCCCATCTACGCTGCCTCTACCATTCCTTAATCAATTTCAATCGTCATCAGCGGTCGGCATCACCACCCTCCACTCCAACGCGCGGTACAGTAAGATATCAAGAGCGCGCTCATCGACACCCGTCACTTCCTTCCAGTATTCCGGTCCGAGCTCTTTGCGCTCCCGCGCGTTGGGCCACGCTGCTACGTCGGCCTCATCGAGCCTTTGGAAGACCATGACGATGCGTGTGATTACATCCGGGGGAGGCGAAAGGGCGAGTGGTACTAGTTCTTCGTACAATCCCTGGTCAAGAAAACGTATTGCGATGTAACGAGTTCTGATGAGGTTCCAAAAGTGAGATCTATACGAATGGTCTTAGTCAGTAGTAATGTCGAGGTAGCCTCGACTCACAGGAAGAAGCATTCACGGACGTTCGCATCCAAGCTCAACGCCCTCAAGACCTGTTCCAGGTATGATGAAACTTCGTTGTACGCGAGTACAACAGAATTATCGTCATCCAGAGCGAAATGCTTGTCCATGACCGATGCGTCTACCCCTGATGGGCCACGACTAAAGTGGCATGGAGTTAGTCAACATTGTAAGGCGCCTAATATAGACATACCTCAGACACCAAAAGATACCGGCTCCCTCACCTCCGGTGTCCCGCTCCACTAATTCGGAAAATGAATCGTATCCCCTCCTAGCTGATACCGAACCACGCCATTCGATGACCTGGCTCGGGTTGATGGACCACCCTTGTCCAGGCCTGAAGATTTTCTTAGCCACTAGCCCTTGTGGTAGGGATACTTCCAGTGCCACTTGAGGTATTTCCGTAGGCGATGAGATACAAATGCCGTCCGGGGCGAAGCCTCCACCCTGCTGATACCAGCAGTCCACGCAATCTCCGTCTTGTATACCAGCTTGCTCAAGAGTCGTATGACGGGCTTCCAATCGGCCTTCATTGTGCATGAAGCGCAGCTTGTGGACATCTTGAACACCGATGTGGTTGCTCAACACAGTCAACAGCTTCTGAACTGGGTATGTCGAAGATACACGGAAGTGAGCGAGCTGGGAGCCGAAGCAGACACTGATGTTCAACTTGGCGGGCATCTGATCGTAGATGGAAAGATTCGTCAAGTGTGTGTCGTCGTCGTAGAGAGCAAAGAGCGGCGACCCACGCCGCACGCGCTGCATTCCGGTGACAGAATGCGTGACACGGCGCGCTGGTCACGTTTACCGCATGCCGCAGCTGTTAGTCTCCAGATGCAGACCATGCACGGAAGACAGTCGTTCCGATGCATGGTCAGAAGGGTGCAAACGTAGTGGAAATTGTAACGGGACGCCGGATTGCGCTACCACACCAACTTGAGTGTTCCCGCCTGTGACCTCTTCCGATTTCGCTGACGCGCTCAGCGCTGACGCTGGCTCATGACGCGCGCGAGATGTGTCAGCTAACCGCTCCTTTTTGGGAAAGCCGGATCTTACAAGCCAAGCTCTCCGAATTTGATGCAGACTAGCAGCTGTCGCGTTCGACATTGGACTCTTGGGCATGCGACATGGCGGGCTATAGTATATCATGTTTTGTCGACTATTCGCTGGTCTACCTTCAGAGTCGGATTGCCAGTGATGTCAGGGTTGATACTACTCGACCGACGCGTTCGGTTATCGTATCGAAGAAGTCAATTGGAACACGATATATTGGTTATGATACACTATGAACGGACGAGAGCGGTAGAAAGTACACTGTATGGTAAAGAGATCCAGATTCAGAAAAGGTCATAATACTCTATAAAAGAATGGTGCATGTATGCATGTATCAGCAGCGATATCGATGGGTCACAGTTTACACGAGACTGTATGCAATAGAGGGAGCGGTGGTTAATCATGAGCGGCGTGAGAGGAGACAAACAGATGAAAGCATAGTACTAGTATCCTTGTAGGAGGACATGCTCAAGAAAAACCGAGAAAGAGTTCGTGATCCCAGTAAACGGGAGATTAGGTCATGATTCAGGCAGTACCCGAGGCGCTCGCATTGCTTCGCGACCGGCTACGTCGACGCCCGCTAATACTCAGCGCATCGGGGATGACGCTGAGCATCGCGCTGGTGATACTATTGCGCTTAGAGCGACTGCGCGAGCGTGCGCGGCTGGAGCTCGAGCTCAGTGTGAGGTCTTCGGGGTCGCCGATGACGCTCCAATCCTCGCTGGGAGGTGCATTGGGCGAAAGCATAGCATCCGCATCGTCGCGTGGCGGGAAGAGTGAGCGAGCACGCTCCATATCGCGATACAGCGACTCGACGGCGTTTCCAACACCGTCCTCCTGAAACATTTGATCAGTACCGCGTCAATCAAGAGGGCGAAAACCTCGTACAGCGCGAATCTGCTCGCCAACCATCCTCGCCCGCTCGATCATCCGCCCGTCCTGCGTAGCCTGACGCAACGCCCTAGCCAGCGTCTCGGCCGACAGCTCCTTCTCCCTCAACGCGACGCCCATCCCAAGCGCCTCAACCCGATCCGCCCAGAAGAACTGATCGCCGAAGAACGGTCGCACGATCGTCGGGATTCCGGCGCGCAAACTGGCACCGGTAGTACCAGCGCCTCCGTGATGGCAAGCCGCGTCGATGCGCGCGAAGAGCCAGTCGTGAGGGACGGCACTGACGGGGTAGATGCAGTCGGGAAGAGGTTCCTCGGGTGTGTCGGAGGCTGCGCCCTTGCTCAGACGGTCGCTCCAGCCCTTGCTAAGGATCGCATACACGCCGCTCTGCACGATGGCTTGCACAACCGCTCTAGTGAGCGCCCGCGGGTCGCTGACGACGATGCTTCCAAAACCAATGTACACGACCCTCTTCTGCTCGGAGCGCGCGCGAGCAAGGAAGGCCTCGAGTGGAGCCGGCGGTGTCCACTTGCGCGCGGAGACGTCCGCGTCGTCGAGGAACCAGTAGCCGGTGATGCGGATATGCTCGGGCCAGTCGAGCGGGACGGGTACGACTGTAGGGCTGAAGTTGTATAGGAAAGGAATTCGGTGAGGGTCTATCCGGTCCAGACTTGTCGGTGGTAAGTTGAGCATGGTACGCCTCCAACGGTTGATCTGGCCGGCGGTACCGCGCCAGAAGACCTGGTCGAACATGACGTAGGTCATGTAGTTGTATCCGCCGCCCATCTTGCGTTCGGGTACGGCGAAGGCGTGTGGGTAAGCACTATGTTGCGATCAATCAGCTTCTGAGCAAGTGCGCATGCCATGAAGACGACATACCGAGTGCGAGACCATGGCATGGTGAAGGCTCGGAAATAGGGTATCCTCAGAGCCTCCGCTATATGGTATCCGGCCATCGCACTAGGGCTCTCCACGAGCACATCCGTGCCCTGGCACGCGCTCCAACTCGTCTTGAGCAGGTCCTCAATCCAGTCTCGGAACTATGGCACACATCAGCTCTTGACTACTCGACGATACGGCGTAGCATATACGCGTACCTTGAGAATCCCCTCCTTCAAGAACGCGATTGTAAACGTCCCATTCTCCACACATATCCTCATCAACTCCGCCGGGTCTCCCCCCACATACCCATACTCAATCCCAAAGCTCTCAACCCAATCCTTGAACTCCCCATGCGTCGCGATCCTGACCCTATGCCCGTCGTCCATCAACCTCCTCGCAAGCGCAATGTACGGCTGCACGTCCCCTCGTGACCCAATAGTGAGCAGTGTAAAGTGCAATGACTTCTCCGGTTTGAACGTGAGGAACGTGCTGCCCGAGCTAGCGAACATCACGCCGGGCACATCGCTGTCCCGATCCCTATCCTCGCTCAGCTCCCTCTCCCTCTCCTCCGCATGCGCAAACGTGCTCTTCGCGCCCTCGACACCGAATACGCTCTGCGCGATCCCCGGTCCAAGCTCATCAAGCAACGCCGGTCTCGACGGTACAGGCGCATGAACCGGACCCGCACGCTGAATCTCCTCGAGCCTCTTGTCCAACAGCAGCCTGAACTGTTCTCTCCGGTCCGCCGCCGAGAACTCCAAGAACAGCTCCTCGTGTCCTCGGACGATGACTGCAAGGCCATGATGCCCAAAGCTGAACGCGGGCGCGAGCTCGCAGGCCATGATATCCCTCAACGGCAACATCATCCTCGTCCGTGCTCCCAGCGAGCCGCCAGCCTTGAAGCACAGCCAGTTGTCGCTGATGTAGAGCCGGCCGTAGACGGGGAGCATGCGGAAGAGGAACCCGGGGAAGACGCCGAGCAACGTCTCGCGCGCGTCTAGAGCGAATGTGGTGCGGAACTTGTCGACGAGTTCGGCTGGTGCTACGGCGGAGGGCGTTTCGAGGATGGAGAAGACCATGTCCTTCTCTACGCGCGGTTCTTCGCTGGGCGGTGGTGTGGATACAGCGGGTATTGATGTGGATGAGAGAATGCGCCGCGGTACTGTGCGGAGGAGCCAGGCGGGAGTGGGTAGCCAACTGAGAGCGCTGTCCTTCACCGTGCTGGGTGGATAGGTGAGGCCTTTACTGGGCATAGTAGGAGTCATAGATTCAGACGACGGCTTCTGGTGTAAAGGCGGAGGCGACAGCGTAATGGGCACGAACGAACGCGATCCTTCGCGAGTCTGAACATGAGTAAACGACTCGTCCGGCTCGGCATCAGAGTCGGTCTCCGGGATCGGTTCGGGTGTGGGGAGTGAAGTTGAGGTCGACACGCTTGGTGGTATGGTGGACGGCGGCGAAGATGACGTGAAAGGTCGTAGCAAGGAAGTGAAGCGGAAAGCGCTCGGACGGGTTCCTCCAGCATCACCCGCAGATCCGCGAGCGCCGCCGATGTCCCTGTTAGAACCAGGGCTCGCTGGTGGGCTGCTTGTCTTCGAGACGGTAGTGTCAACCAACTTCCTCGACTGCGCCTGCGACCGCGGTTCGGCCACTCTAGCAGCTGCCACTGCGCCTCGGACCTGCTCCATAGCCGCATGCGCGTTCGCAAAGTACGCGAAGAAGAAGCTATCAACCGCGAGCGCATCCGCATTCGACGCATCTAAAGACGTATCGAGCACCTTGACCTCCAGCGTCTCAGAGAGTCCGGCCGGGCTAGCGATATCGACGTCAACGATCGCCGAATATGGGATGGCGATCTTCACGCTCTCGCCGCTGTTCTGCGCTTCGAATACGGCTAGATGGATAGCCTTCACCCACTCGTCCCGAGAAACGGTCGAGTCGGCTGATATGCTGGCTGTTCGTGTGGTCGTGCGTACACGTAGTCCCTTGTCGCCTGTGGGCTCGACAGAGATCGTGTATCGCAAGTCTAGTACGCCGTGTGGGAAGTAGGGATCCTAGATAGATTTCATATCAGCACTGCACTGCGAAATCAACAGTGTGTACTCACGCTTGCGGACGAGTACCAGCACAGCGAGTCGTTCTTAAGCACGAACCATCGACGGACCCATCGTTTGGTTCGCTGCGTCTTCTTGCTCAAAGTGCCACTCTTGCGGATAGCCGTGTCTGAGCGTGCCGGTATATGGGCGAAGAAGCACAGATATGTATCTGTCAGGAACATATGGCCCTGCAGTAGTGCCGCCCGCATCAACCAACAAGGGATCTCTGTGGCAACGTCAATAACTCGCCTAGATGAAGGTAGACACATTCAGACGTACCCGCAACGACCTCCGTGATGCCGTCCAGTTCGAACACCTCCGCAAGCTTGACCGCCAACTTTGCTCTCCGACTATGCCGAACGGTCTTCACGGTTGACAAACTGTCCTGCCGTCTTGGAATTGCCCGTGACCGCAACAAGTCTTCCACCGGTACGCCGCTACCGGGCCTCTCCCTACTTCCCACTTCCTCCTCCCTGTTCATCTCCACCGGCGAATTCGACATCTCCTCAACCTGTGCCGTGGCGTCAAAGTCCTCTCCCTCCGTCTCCTCCGCCTCCGAGTCCGTATCCGGTACAGGCGGCAACCTCTCGCTCTTCGCAAGATCGCGTATCCCGCGGAACGGACGATGAATCGTATGCAAACTGCTCGACATATGCGACACCGGTGCGCCGTCGTCGCTCTCGCTGCCGTCGCTCATCACATCTTCCGGTCCGGGTGCAGGGCTCAGGGATTGTGTTGACTGGGTAGAGCTAGAACGCGAATGCGTGGGACGAGATGCGGAGGACGGCGGAGATTGGAAAGTGTGAGATTGGGATTGGAATGCCGCGGGGTGCATCGATTCAAAGGGTAGTCCGCCATCGTCGTCTTCGCCTTGGGACCATGGTAGCGCTTGCAATAGCTGGATGAGCGTCTGTGTCCCCGCACGGATCTGGGATAACATGACGCGTCAATTACTGTATACATCCACGCATGCATGGAAGATAAAGGTAGTCAGGTGCAGCAGAAACAGCATAGTGTGGCCGGAAATGGCAGGTGTATTGCCACTCGAGATTGATGGGGCGGTACCGCATCCAGATATGGGGTGCGCGCTTCCGTGTACGCTTGTACGCGGCAAGTCACGCCACTTCGCCGCTGTTGCCTATTTCCATTCTACGCGTCGACATCGCGATAGAAGTCAAGCAGCGCAAAGCCATGCGGTCCATGCGAGGTACGGTGCCGAAGCGAGGGAGGGGAGGGGACGCGTACCGTGTTCTCCCCGCGTAAGGCGGTGGACCGGCTCATGTCCTCATGAGGCGACCTCGGGCGGATGAAAGGGTCGTCTAAGGCCGAGTTCATTAATGCTTGAGGTGTTGCGCTCTCTATACGACAAATAAAGCCTCAGCTCTGCAAGTCCCAATATCCGGGGCCCGCGCCACAGTTACGAGAGCAGCGCTTACCGTCGTCGCTGGTTGGCCCGGCGCGCTCCTTGCCCTTATCCCTCCTCGAAGCGCGGCGGAGAATGCTGCTCTTCAGCGACGGGGGACTGCTCGGAGGCGAGGCGCCCGTATTAGGCGTAGAGTTCGAACTCGCCGACCTGGATACACCAGCGAGCCTATTCTGGGTAGCGTCCATTATCCTGCGCGCGATAGACTGCGAGGAGGACAGCGTGGGTGTGGGCTCCTCTGATGGTGGTTGCGGTGAGAGGCTGGAGCGCGAGAGGCCGCGGGTGTGCATCGGTCACGGTCGTCGTTGCCGGGCTGTAATGAGGCGGCGGACCTTCAGGCGGAGAGCCTGCCATATTGACTGGCGTGGGAAATCCCACTCTGGCGTGGCGCCACGCCTTCGGGGCCTTTAGCGGTTCGACTTTCCATAGCTATATTCTGTTCGTTCAATGCGTACGTGCCTCAGAGGCTTCTGTAAGGTACACTCTGTGCAGCGTGCTTGCGGCGAGGGCGTCCATATGCGGCGAACAATAGATTGGGGTGTATAGGATTAATTGAGTTAGGCGTGCGACTGTAGCCCCGAAGGCCGAGCGAGCGCCGCCTCGTGTTTCCCGTGCGCGCGCGTCATGTTTCGCGCGGCTATCCTCCTACTTCTTCTTTGCCCGCGGGGCACCGCGTCTGTTCCACACCCTTTGACCTCTCCGTACTACCGTCAGATCTGAAATAATGAGCGTCGGTCACAGACTTCGCCTCAGAGGCGAGCTCTGCATGGGCTTCGGCTCCGTGCTCTCGTGCGTCACGCCGACGCCATGTTCGAATTCGCGTTTGGGCGCTGACTTCGGGTCTTGCTCTGCTTCCGTCTAGGCTCGCTGCGTTTCTGCTTCTTATATTCGTTCATGTGCGTGGGCATATTTCTATTTGCTGACCTGATCCGCTGAGTACATGATAGGTCGGGACGACCAATACGAGCAGTACGCCGCGCAAGATTGCGATGGTGAGTAATGTGTCAGATGTGGCAGGACGGTTACTTATTCGGGCCAGGCGACGATGAACGTCTCTGCATATGGGTGTGTGTCCAACACATTGCTCAATCCACACTCGACTCACCGTATTCCAGCGCCGCATTAGCAGTCGGCTTCGCGCCCGACCCCATCCTCGGACTCTACGCCACAAACGCCTCCCTACCACTCGCCGAACGCCAAGGCATCCGCGACATGTACCAGTGGGGATTATACTCCTACTGCGCATACTTGACCGTCAACGGCACCGGCCCAGTGTCGAGCGGAAACGGAACGTGCAGCAATACGACCGCCGGAACACAATTCCTGCCCTATGACCAGTTGACGGCAGACATGCCCTCGAACTACTCGATGTTCACTGGCAGCATTATCACTGGCACATCGTTCAGGGTTGATGGTGGACTGGGCACGCATACGAAGGACGCATACTACTGTCTCATCGTCGGGACAGTATTGCTCTTCGTCTCGCTCCTACTGTGCGCACATACCCTCTCAATGCACTCTATGTGATTACTGATCACCCCGCAGAGGACTCTTCAAACGCACCTTCGCCCTAGTATTCTCATCCATCCTCGCCTCCGTCGCGGCGGCGCTCGTATGCGCGGGCGCCGGCTTATGGACAGTAGCCATAAGCCAAGCGCGCCAAATCAACACGTTGCAGCTGGCCGGAAGCCTGACCCCGCTCGGCATCTCCGTCGACTCGGGGCTCGGCCTTACGCTGACATGGGCCGCGTTTGGTTGTATGACTGCCGCGCTGATACCGTACTGGATCAGGTGTGTTTACCTTCCCCTCACTTATTACCTCAAGTCATCTCCGGGTCCCCACATCCCCGCATACGCCCTCAGAGTTTCTCCGGGTCTTCTTTCCTTCGGCTTCGGCATGTGAATGTGGATGTGGGATATGCGCTGACGATCTTTACACAGCTCGTGCACCTACCGCGGATGAACGCACAAACGAACGAAGACGAACGGACGAAACGGAAACGAAACACGCGTTGTACGCGCGACACCCACACCCCTCTATAGACGATGCGAAGAAGTCATTTCCTGTACCATAACGCGCCCTAGTGCGCCTGCTCTCGGAGTCACCGCGCTAGCGCGGTGATTGTCATGCCTGCTTACGAGTAGTTACTTACCTGCCACGGACTGCCTGCTGCTGCGATGATAATGTTATGCCGAACGGACTGCTCTGGAATAGAGCGTTTATGCGCTTGCGTGATTCTCGCGTGTCGGTCCAATTTTCTCTTGCTTCTCGGGGTATCAAATGTTGCAGCGTCTGTAAACCTGACGATTCTTGTAAGACGTACGAGGCGATGCAATACCCGCACTTGGTGTGCGCGGGACGCAGGGCGACTCTCGCACAGAAGTGCCCCTCGCCTACAGGTCTAGTCCGGCGCACGCGGAACAAAGTATGATCTACAGATTCGCGCTCATCCGGCGCTCTCTTATACAGAAGGTATGACGAATCGTGCTGTGTGTGTGCTATCTTTACCCAGTCGCATGCCATCTTCGCCCGGGTAAACGATACCATACATGCACATCAGCAGCTAGTGCGCACAGTAGATCGCAAAAAGACGCCTCAGCTCGCCAAACGTCCGCATAAGCATAGCTTCCTTCACAAGTGGCCGGTTTGAGGACTTGGTCGGCAACAAGTACAACATTTTGACCACTCTGTTCCGACGCGTCCTATATGCGCGGCGTCAAAACGCGTAAACACGCCGGCGAGAAACCCGTCACTTGACCGCGTCCCCCGGCAAACCCCGCTGCAAAACTGCATTCGCACGCACTCCTTCTCCGGCCCGGCGCTCCGGCCGCGTCGCAATCGACAGGCTCCTCGTCGTTGTCGCCAGCCTCCTCATCGCCGCCCTCGCCGTCTCGCGCACTTCGTATGTCGACTTTTGCCCCAAAAAATAGGATGGGAGGGAATAGGATGCTGATGGAGGTTGTGTAGAAGATAAAATGACCCACGACGCCGTTTGGTTCTCTCGCCCGCGCAAGTTCGGCAAGGGCTCGCGCCAGTGGTGCGTATTCCTGCCCGTCCGTTCTGCAGAATATATGGCTGACCGAGCGTTCCATATCTCCCACATATCTCTCGACATATTCCACAAATGCACGAACCAATCCATCCACCAACTTCCACTCGCGCGCAAACAGCCGCGTCTGCGCCCACCAGGCCGGTCTCATCCGCAAGTACGGCCTCGACCTCTGCCGCCAGTGCTTCCGCGAGAAGAGCGCCCAGATCGGCTTCACCAAGGTGCGTCACCGAGCATCATATACATCTATTTCTTCAGACACTAATATGTATTGGTAGAACCGGTGAAGACTTCCTTTACTTGGAGTGTATATGTTCTCCCGGCTCTTGAGGTTTTCGCACTGTACTCGCATCGTTCTCATACATCCCGCACGCACCAAAACCCACCCATACGCGCCCGTTCCCTGTATGCAGTCCTTTCATTTCTGACACTATGCATGCATGCCCCGACCGCAACAATCACCCATCGTGTGAAGAAAGTGATTTATCGCGCGAAGTGCGCGATAAGAATGCGTTGTCTCAGACATGGGCTCCTCTGTTCTACATTTGTGCGTTTCCTACAGCATTCTCAACAAGTGCTACGATCCTCCATTCCGCCTCCTGCGTTTGGCGCGATGCGCTTCAGTGCTGGGACCGGGCCCGGCTTGGGCATGCTCCTGACGTTCGTCTGCGTCAGATCCGTCTGCCTGACTATGTCTGCGGGAACGCGTCGTTGGAAACAGGTCCCCAGCCCGTTGCCGGCGCCCGCGAAAGTTATTGTTGCTTGAGGCCGCGGATCCCCCTTCAGGCGGCCGAATAGCCTCGAAACGTCCTGCCCATACATCCGTCACGTACACGCTTATGATTGCCTGTGCGATGGCAACACAGCCCTGATGCTATACGTGCGCCAGATGTCAGGACTCAGCAGCGTCCGGACAAGCAGAACACGATCACATACGATCAATCTCTTATCAGGCGTATACAAAGACTCGTTTTTCGGCAAGTCGAATGGAGAGGGTGATCTGAACGTCAGACTAAGCTCTGTTGTTGAGTGTGCGATGCGCAGTGCCTTGGCTAGTTGTGGCGAAGGTGTGCGGTCAGGACCAGCGCCTGTGAACATCTCCCGACGATAGTAGATAGGTATAGGGGCCATTTCAACCAGGAAGTCGATCGTGATTTCGGACTTGTATTCCGCCTCCATACTCTTGTATTCTTCCGAGTTTCCCGTAGCTTCACGGGTGTCGTCGACGTTATCTGCCTCCCAATCTTGTAGCTGCCAAAATAACTCTTGACGGAGATCCGCTTGAGCGTCAGGCGTCCAGCTCGCGGCAGTACGTGACGGATAACGTTTCTTCCCTTTGCGGAACCACAGAAGTAGGGTAAACGCAAGGCCAGCGGAGAATATTGAGTAGAACGCCTGCCGATCGGGGAAGTCCTCGAATGCTTGTCGAGCCTGCGCAAAAAGCTGAGCTGCGTTGTTCACGACGAGATCTTGGTATTCATCAGCGCTGACCGTGAGGTCAGGCTCCTTGAGCTCCCACCACAAGCCCAATTCCCCAGGAGGCGCCCCTCGCTTTTGCGGGTGCCCGCCGTCGGCTTTCCTGGGGAAGCTGAGATACGCTCCAATGTCTGGGGTCTGTTTGCCACGGAAGACAGGCTGAGGAACTGCAATCATCATTCCTAGCGGACGCAAGGTCGTCCCAGTAATGGCAGTGCGATGAAACAGGGATAGCAGCTCGGTTGCCAATCCATAGGAATGCCATTCTAAGGCATCCGGATGGGCCATAAAAGCGACGTGACAGTTGAGGAGATTCGCAGTTGACTACGAGAGATATGTCAAAGCTTAGTCGGTCGAATGGGCGTCCTGACTCCTGACTCACTACGGCGTCCGGTTGGCTGGCATTGTTGCGAGGCGCCATAACTGCTGCTCATGAGAGCACGGTGATAGCGTAGTCTGAAAGCGATTTCGGGATGAAGAGGTGGCGCGAAAGCACTGGACGAGGTCCTCCCTTATCAAGGCAGCATAACAATAGCACGATTCGCGTAGCACGAGTACTAGCTGCTCGGCGATGCTGATGGCTCACACGCTATGGGTCCATTGTTTTACTCAGCGCAACCACAGTCCACAAGTGGCGTGGCGTCCCGTCGTTCCGTTCGTCGTTGGCCCAGAGACGCAACCAAATGCGTAGGTATCTGTATGTAGTACGCGCATGTTCTCTTTCTCGTCACGCAGAACGTAGGGAGCGGGGTAGTGCAATACACCGACCTCAACAGGCACACATGAGGGTCAACAACAAAGGTTGCTAACCTGAACCGCACGTGCCTGAATGTCGATAGCGCCGGCCCGATCTCACGTGACGCCAGGACGCGACGGTGGCTCGCGTTGTAAGGCTTGTCTTCTCTCTTCCACCACCACTCCCATACGTCTCTACTCATGCAACATGGTTGTAACAACACGATCACGGAATGCCAGGGCGCCTCTATCAGCCACACAGTCGGCACCTGAATCTGGAAAGCAGCCCTCGCCACGCACGTCAACCGCCCTGCGAATCAGCAAACGCGCAAAGCCCTCACCACCACAAACTCCTACCAGAATCCGCGCTAGCAAAGCAAAGGCGACCAAACAGGATCAAAGTCGCGTGAGACGTTCGAGACGCAAGCTACCCTCGGAATACGAACTTCGTCCGAATGGAGATGAGATCATAGACCAGTTAAGCGGCCGTCCTGTACTGTCCGCGTATGGTCAAAGAGTATTTCACGAGGTACGATACTCTCTCATATGGGTCAATATGCTTTCAAATGGCTAATGACCCGCTAGAGGCGCCGTCTTGTGGCGGACAAGCGCGCCCCTCGACCTGAACTGGATAATCGATTACGCCCGAGATATCAAGGTATCAGGCAGCCAATGCTACATTTCGGCCTTGGCTGCAATATGGCCCATATCATGGACTGCGCGAAACGGCGCGGATACCTGACTCGTCCGCGTGACGAGGACGATCAGGAATCGAGGGCGAAGTTTCGTGTTTGGACGCACCTTCGATTCCGTCTGATAGACTGCACATTCGAGCGTGCTCTATCCAACGAATTCGAGTTTGTGGTCGCTCTATACTCAAACTACGATCAGCTCGAGAGGCAGCTCGTGGAAGAAGATGAAGAGACTTGTCTTCGTCTCATCCGGAAAGAGCTCGGATTGGGAGATCAGGAACCGAAGTGGTACTGGGACGAGAGGAAATCCGGAACCTAGTACGTTGACGCTTGTTGAGCTTGGGTTCCCCTCATACTCACATACCCATAGCTATACTGCCCCTCTAGATGAATACAATGTTCCGAACTTGTATTCGGTCACTGTACCGGTTTTGGATGATGAGTAGCATCAACTCCTGACACTATACTGTTTTCTCCTTGCTCTCTCATCGCTGTCTTTTTCATGTACTTGGACCTCCGTTAGCTCATCACCATGTAGTTTTCCAAATGTCACGTTGCTGGTTGTACAATATATACTCTCTGCGCTAGCTTAGCGAGCGGATCGTTCTATCGACATACTACATGAATTCGCGTCTGTTGGCTAGAGAACAGTGGGTTCTGGATGAACGGAAGGACATGAATATGCTCAGGCAACATGCTGACATGGTGGTATGCAACAGACAGTATTAGTCTCCAGCCCGCACGAACTGTGATCTCCCACGCTGCCACCGTGTGGTGGCTCGCCTAGCTGAGCCGTTGTTCCGCAACCATGACCACCCGGCGGCTTTCGTAAACTCTCTCTGCGACTATGGTTGCTACAACCAGGGCTCGGGCCATACAGGCACCGCTGCCCCACTCCCCGTCAGGCTCTAAATCCTGCAAACGAACCTCGCCAAAATCTATGAGTGCGAGCAGAAGAATACCGAGAGTACCGCGTGCTTGAGGCGTGAGGTCGCTGGTGTGGTTGCAGTGGCACAGATTCCCGCGCGAGTTGGCTCCTGCTTTCATCTTCCCCTGTCGCCGACCTCAGTGCCTCCATACATCTCACCACGCGCTATGGTGGTCGCTACAAGATCTCGTGCTATCAAACCTCATTCTCCCACTCCAAAGGGTCGGCGCATTCAGATAGAACCAACGCCACGCATCCTGCCTGCCATTCGAACTACAAGGAGGAAATCCCCGCCCAAGATTTCCGCCAGGGCATGCTCACATCTCGACGCGCCAAAAGAGCATGCATCAAAGAGCAAGCGAGCGAAGTTGCTGCCGTCGGAATACGAACTGGATGAGGATGGCAACGCCATTGAAAATCCGTTGACTGGATGTCCAAAGCTTTCGAAATATGGATGGCGCGTGCTTGCAGAGGTACTTCACAGTGTCTGAGTACCATAAGGCCTCTCTTACAGTTTGATAGAGTACTCGTCACGTCGAGATGGCGCGCCCTGCTCTGCCGGAGCTCGACGGCCGCCTACGACCACGGTACGGAGGTTCGCGCCAACCCATACTCCACTACGCGACAGGGTGCCATATAAGTGAAATACTGGAATGGGAACGTCAAAAGAACTACCCAACTCGTTCCTACAATCCGTACCCTGATGACAATGCAAGGCATCGCTTGTGTGTCTATCTGAACGGCCGTCGCATCAACTGCACAATCGAACGCGTGCTGTCGCCGGACTTCGAATTTGCCGTCGCGCTGTACTCCAACCACGATCAGTTTGAGAAGGAACTAGTGAAGGAGGACGAGGATAGATGCTTGCGCATAATCTGGGAACAGCTGGGCATACACAATCGGCGACCGCTATGGTATTGGGATAGTGTTCAATCTGGCACACAGTACGCCACCCCTCGGTTATTGCGCTCGAGTCGGTGCTCATGCGTTACAGCTACAAGTGTACTCTAGACGAATACAATGTCCCCAACCTGCACAATATTATGATAGAGCCAGAAGATGAGGACTGGGTATGATGGTCTGGACTTACTATTAGTCTGCATGCTTCTGCATGTGCCTGTACTACTGTATCATGATGTTCTCAGATTACTGCTGTTTTGCTGTCTGTAATTTTGTATTTGTCTAGCCTGTATAGATGTAAACAGTCCCTGGGCGCAAGGAAGGCCATAACTTTCCAAAGGCGCCAGATGTCGGTAACAGCGGCCCGAGCTCCCGTCGTGCCTAAACCGCGGTGGCGCATGTTGCGAGGTCTTTCTTCCTTCTTCCACCACCACTCTCGTTGATCTTTTCTCGCTGACTATGGCTGTGACAACGCGATCGCGGAATACCAGGACGCCACTACCAGCCTCAGCACGCTCGGTATCCGAATCTAGCAAGCAGTCCTCGCCAGGCAGGTCAACCACTCTACGAACCGGCAAGCGTGCAAAGCCGTCACCACTCCAAAGCCCTATGAACGTTCGCATCAGCAAAGCGAAGGCAATCAAACAGGAAATGGGCCGCGTTAGGTGCTCGAGACGGAAGTTACCCTCAGAATATGCACTTCGTCCGAATGGAGATGAAATCATAGACCAGTCAAGTGGCCGTCCTGTATTATCCGCGTATGGTCAAAGAGTACTCGGAGAGGTACGATGATTTTTTGTCTGATCTGTACTCTATCATATCTAATAAACCCGTTAGAGGCGTCGTCTCGTAGCAAACGTGCGCGCTCCTCGACATGAACTAGATAATCGACTCCGTCCGAGATATCAAGGTATCAGGCAGCCAATGTTGCATTTCGGCCTTGGCTGCAACATGAGCCATATCATGGACTGTGCAAAACGGCGCGGATATCTCTCTCGCCCACTCGATGATCCTACCCGAGAGTCTAATGCGGAGAATCGTGTATGGACGTTCTTTCGATGCCGTCAGATAGACTGCACGTTCGAGCCCGTTCTATCCAACGACTTCGAGTTCGTGGTTGCTCTATACTCGAACTACGATCAGCTTGAGAGGCAACTCGTTGAGGAAGATGAGGAGCATTGTCTGCGTCTCATACGAAAAGAGCTTGGATTGGGAGATCAGCAGCCGAAGTGGTACTGGGACGAGATCAAGTCTGGGACGTAGTACGTTGACCGTCGTTGATTTTGGGCATCTGTACTCATACAACCACAGCTATACTGCGCCGTTGGATGAATACAACGTTCCGAACTTGCACTCGGTCACAGTGCCAGTTGTAGACGACGACTATCAGCAGCGTTAAGTTTCAATCCTACGTATATTGCTTTCATCTTGCTCTCTTATTGCTACGTTCTTCATGTATTGCTTTCTGACATGTATACATGTATCACTACCTAGCTTTGCATACGCTGTATCCAATCAACTACTGAATCTCAGAACCAGATGAGCGTAGAACGGGTGAACCGAGTGGCCCGGGCCCCGAACCTTCTTGACGCGTGATGTCATGAATTCCGAAAAGGGCAAGACCCTCCCGCATCCCGATGCGAGCGCGTCTTCGCTTTTCGTTGCCTCCGACTGTCGTCGTCTCTCGTTCGCCCTCTCGGATCTGCCTCAAAGTGTCCTAACGGTACCCCTGGACCTGCGCCATAGTGACAATCAAGAAGATAGAACACGATGCCGCTGGTTTCACGGCCCAGTCTGGGTTGTGCTTCGCAGGTGTCAAGGTGTGTACGCGTTAACTCGCAACTGTTTTCATAGACTCACCTGAGAGCCAATTAGCCCCGCAGACTTGTTCTGGGATAATACCCTTAAACAAAGGACGGCTGCCATGTTCGCATCACAGGTCCAGACACTGGCGAACTCTGACGCGAATATCCATGCGTGGGAGAAGGAGATCGCGTCGCTTCAACGCGTGCTCGCTGCTGCAAACAGGCAACGCAACGCTTGCTCTATCACCTATATGCTCCCCACCGAGATCTTGTCCCGCATCTTCGAGGAACTTGCCTTTGTATCCCCCATCGAGTCCCACCCAAATGCCTCCGTCGCTCGCAAGGGATGGCTGACCATCGTCGAAGTCTGTCAACACTGGAGAAACGTCGCGCGTGCTCATTCTACCTTATGGCAACGCATCACATACGTCTCCGAACCACTCTGGGAGCTTTTTGTCACAAGTGCAGGATCCATGCCTCTCGTAGTTACAGGACGCGTATCGGCCTACCACCCGTCGTCTCGAAGGTTCCTTGATCTTTTACCTGCTCAGCTACACCGGATGAAGGAACTCTACGTGCATGCACAGGCATCGGCGGACTCCGAAAACCGTCCCACTCGTACTCGATTCCTCGCTCTCATGCGCAGCTTGAACACATCTCGCGAGGCGCTTGACCAGTTAGAAGTATTATCCTTGCGTCCGACCAGGTACACTGGGCGTGGTCTGCATGCCGAGTTCATGAAGCGACCTCTTCCGAAGCTCCGTCAAGTCACCCTCCAAGGGATGGTTCTGCCCCTTGGCATACACTCTCGAAGCATAACCAAACTCGAACTTGTCGAAACGTCCTACCGCAATCCGGGAGAAGTGCTCAAGACTCTGCGACATATGACGTCTCTTGCAGACCTCACCCTGAGCCTTTCCTCAGGAGGGTCCCACACGACCACAGTGCAACCTCCAATCGCGCTGCCGCATGTCCGCCGCTTCGTCGTCAAGAACAGTCTTGCCATCTGCACAGCTTATCTGGAATCGGTCGCGATCCACCCTCTCGCATTCATCGAGATTGACGCCAGTGATACATCCCATCTTCACGATGAAGATCTCAGCGAGCTGGGCAGCGCTCTGTTTTCGTTGGACAACTTTGAGCCCACCGTTCTGGAGCTGTCTGCAAACAGCTTCCGTAACGTCTGCCAGGTCACCGCTTGGGGGAACGAAGGGGAAGGGGGCACGTATGGACCCGATCACCAAAACGATCCCACGCCCTCTCATCCGCATCCCTGGCCAGGCGTCAAGGCTACCCTGCCGGTCTCGTCGATACGTTTGATCGAGTTTGAATCACCTTGCGCTGTTATGCCTGTTATCATGGCGGACTTTCTGTCGCAGGTACCCAAGGCGGCTTGGGACATTGTCACACTGGATGGTCACATGCACTGGGACGTCGAGCAGATCCTTTCGCTCTTCGCAGGCGCAGATGGCGTCTATTCTTTGATTATGGATAACGTACCGCCCGACACCATTGCTGCACTCTGTACCGCACTCACCCGCACGTCGTTCCCGGGAGCGCCACTCCTGTGCATTCCCCACCTCACGCACCTTCACTTTGACAACGTCGACTTTGGCTGCCTTTCCGAGGAGTGCAACGGAGAGCATTCTGCTATCCCATACGTACGGGAGCTCCTAAGTGACAGGGACTTTCGGGGAAGAGCCTTGGAATTCTTGGGTCTGAATTCCTGCTCCATATCGGAGGAGTACGTCGAAGACTGGGAGGACTTCGTGGACGCCTTGGACTGGGACGGTGGGACTGGGGACGCTCATGGCCGTCATACGGATGATGAGCACGACGAAGATGAGGACGTGCAAGGGGAAGATGGAGTGGTTTCCGATACAGACGAGTATGTGCGTTTCCTAGTTGATGACCTCGATTGATCGCCTGTTTCCCGATGTAACCATTCTTGCCACCGCCGTTTCATGCACTTCATATCACTGCTCTTTCGCCGGCACTGTATCCATACATTTGGGAAATCTTGATGAATTTACACGATGCGCAAAGGAACCCGTAGAGTGTGAAAGCGACAGCACATATACATGCACATCACCGACGCCCATAGCAAAACAAAAGAACAGCACCATCGGGCATGAATGGCAGCCCTTACGCCTTGACCTCCTCCGGATAATGCTCCTCGAATATCCGTCTGCTGAACTGCCCATACGTTTCATCCGCACTCACACGCGCCTCAACATCTGGTTGCATGAACAGCGCGAACGTCTCGCGCGACACCGGGGCGCCGTCCGGAGACGCGCCACCGCGTACACAGTGTGGTGTTGCGCGTAGACGGCCCTCTGTCGCGAGCTCGAGCGCCTCACCCGTCTGGAAGGCAAGAGCGTTGGGAGGAATGGAGACTTTTGTCAGAGAGCCACCTCGCGAGTGGATGTAGAGGCCTGCGGACTCTGAGGGTGCCGAGACCACTTCAGGCTGGGCGCCTCCGGTATGTCGAAGATACATGGCCTACAACAGACTTCAGCACTCTGCGTGTGTTATAGGTACAGAACGCTCACAGAGACGAGGCCAGTTAGGAGCGAGTGATCCTTGTGAAAGCCACACCAACTGTCGACAGGTTCGTCCGCCTCTGGAACTGCTGATGGCGGTGTTGGGAAGTAATGCAACAAGCGCGCCTTCGTCGTCTGGCTTTGGCGGATGAAGTCTGCTAGGGCAAAGTTCTTGTCCGTGAGATGCGCTGCGGCGAATGGCTGGCACGCATTCGCAAGCAGGCACCCAGCGTCAAACACGAAGCGACCCAGCGCCTTGAAAGCGGCTTCGAAGTTGGCTACCACCGGCTCGTCGCGAGGCCCTGGTTCAAGATAAGTTACGCTGAGCCGGGATAAAGGGCGTATGCGCACATATGTTGGAGCTATAGTACTCCGGGTATGTGGCCTTGAGCGTCGCGCTGACGTCGGGCGTATCGATTACAGGATTGGCGTAGTACGAGCCCTTCAGAAGATCTGCGTGGTCCATTCAACTTGACATGTTCCATTTCAATTGTGTACAGAGAACGTACCTGGCTTTCCGTTCATAACTTCCTGATCCGTCTCACTCAGCTACAAGCTTCCATACATATAACGACAGCGTCATACCTTCCCGTGTGACCATCCGAAGCTATAACGATGTTCAATGTGGTGCTTGAAAGCCGTCAAGACTATCGCACGCACCTGTACTTGCTACTCGCATCTGCATATTTCTCTCTCGTCTCCTCGGGCAAACTCGCGAATGCGTTCGCGAGCCCAAGAAGCTCCTTCCTCAGCTGCGGATACGCAGGCGGCAGATCGCGCACGACGACTATACCGAGCGAGTCCGGGCTCGAACCGAAGGCCTTCTCTACGCGTATTGAGCGGATTCAGAAGCTATCCACCTCCAGAAGACGTTATAAAGGGGGTACGTACCAATTGACGCGGTGAGGGACATCGGCGAGGACACAAGCGCGCGGTACGATATTGCAACAGCGCCTTCGGGCGTGTAGACTATAGGCGCCTGTTCGGCAGATGCGGAGGCCACAACACTAGCCATCCTGCGCACGAGAGAGGCCCGGAACATCGAGTAGTTGTACAGTCCGATTAGGTCGCCTTAGAGCGCGCAGGATGATGGACGTCCAGGACAAGCTAAACAGGTCCCGTCGAGGAACAACGGCGTATACAGTCTGCTATCTTTCCACACCACGCGGTACAAGGTTCAGATCCGACTTGGCTCAATCTCTTTATCTCAGGCGCACTCGACTTCATTTCACAATCACACGAAAGCAGATGACATCCAACAGCAGTATATAGGAAGAGTGCGACATGCAATTGCTAGATTAAACAGATGTAATCCTAAGCGCCGTAGACCGACGCCTCGGACGAGGGTGGAGAGAGTAGACAGAAAGCATCGGGGAAGACACAATGAACAGGGGGCGGGAGTGAGATGATAGGTGTATACAGACAACGAAGAGTGTAGTAGCGAGCAAAACACATAGCGCGGAGCGGCAGCGTTCGTTCCAAATCCTGGTAATAGCGGAATGTTGAAGAACGGCGGTGCGGGGGCGGGCCAGGGTCGGGGTAGTAAACATCGTACAGAGTGAAGAGTATTTGGATGAAGCAAGCAACGTGTGGGGTGAAATACAGTGAATGCGCCGGTGAACACGAGTGCGAGTGCGGACGGACGGGTAGTAGAGGAGCGTAAAGGGGCTGCGGGAGTATAGAGGATAGGAGGGAGGGCATAGCGAGTGCATGTGCGAGGATAACGGTGTGTAATATATGGTTGTAATGGCTTGTTGATGTTGTTGACGAGACGAGGACGGAGAGACTTGAAAGGTATAGTGCCGCTAGGGCATTCGATGACTTGATGTTCCGGTACAACGGCGCGGCGATACGAGACGAGTTGGACGCTCTCGACCGCTTTTACATGCCGTAGCCGTACGATGCCCCGCGCTGGTAGTCGCCAAGACCACCGGACAGGCTGACCGCCTGAGGGTACGCCGCGACGCCCATCCCGTTGTAACCAGCGCCGTACTGGCCGGCGGCAGCCAGATTATGGCTCGAGTGGCCCTGGAGGACGTATGCGTCGACGCCGCGTGCGAGATGTGCCTGCGGGTGCTGCTGGCCGTACGCGTGCATGGGCGCAGCGTACGGATCAGGTGCACGGCCGAGCCCGTGAGTCTGCAGCGCCGCCATGTTGACGAGGTTTTGCTGAGCAGCCGCGGGGTAGCCGCCAACGGAGCCGTAGTGGTCCATCTGCTCGCGCTGGAGCTTGTTCTGGATGCGCTTGCCGTACGGGGTGTTGCGGATGAGCGGGAGAACCGGGCGAATGCCCTCGACGAGGAGCGCGCGCTGTCCAGGCTCGGCGTAGTCGAGAGCGGTCTGGACGCAGTAGTTGCCGTAAGAGTCGCGGAGAAGCTTTTCAAGGCGCGTGCGGTTCAAGAGCTCCTCGATGAGCATCTTGCGCGTCGAGTGCTCGGCGACGCGGATACACTTCTCGATGACGTTCGACGAGAACTTCTGAACGGAGAGGGCGCAGACGTTGCCCTGGAACTGGCGGATGACGGCGTCGGAGAAGCGGTTGTCGTTGAGGTCGAGAATGTATTGCACAACCTGTCCAGAGCGTCAGGATGCGAAGCTTGAGTTTGAGCAGAGCATATACGCACGTAGTTGCCGTAGGGGTCCTGTACGAGCGTGAGAGCGTTGTAGGTGATCTCGTTCACGAGCTGGACGCGCTGATGCTCCGACGCGTGGTCGATGCAGCGCTGGAGCACGCAGCAACCGTGGCGGTGGGTAGCGACCTCGACGCAGTTGTTCGCGACGGCGTTGTAAATGAACTGACGAGTACATAAGTTGATACGTCCGAATCAGAAGGATACCGGATGAAGATACCTGGTTATCCTCCGGCGCGAGCTTGTTCAAGCACTTCTGAATGACATGGTTGCCATTCAAGTCCTTGATAAGCACAACAACATGCATACTAAGCGCAACAATGATAGAATGAATCTGCGCGTGCGCTCTGTGGTCAGCCTGCATTACCAATCGATCCAAATATGGGCGCCAGTCAGCGGCGAGTTACGGGGTGCGGGAAAAGGCGACGACGGCACTGACCTGACGGCGGGTGCTCAAGAAGTCGATCATCTTCTGCACCGCGCGTGTACCATGCATATTGAGGGAGATCGTGACGAGGTCCTGCGCGACGCTCTCGCAAATGACATTACGCTGGTCGTCGGTGCTGTACTCGAGCAGCTTCTGGCAGAGGTAGTTCCCGAAGGGATCTGTGTCAACGGATCAGTATGCTGTGCAGCAGACGGCGTTAACGGAATGGGATATGCGTACCGGTCATGAGATCCGCGAAGTGGCCGAAGGTCTCGCGGAAGATGATGTCGCGGTGCTCCGGGACGCCTTCCTCAAGCTTCTTCTGGAGGTAGCGGCAACCGTGCTGGTCCTTGCACAAGTTCGGGATCTCGCCGATGAGGTCCTCGAGACGTGTACCGGCGAAGCGGTTGACTATATACCATAGAAAGTCAGCAATGAAGGTCAAACTTGTTGAATAAAATTAGACGCACACTCGCGATCGATGTCGCCGCGCTTGTGCTTGGGGCCGTGGATGCCATTGATCTTCGCGTCGCCGCCGTTGGTACGACCGAGACCGAGACCATAGCGCGTGCCGTTGTGCTGGTACAGCGCCGTGCTACCCGTACCCTGACCATATGCACCAGCGCCGTACGCACCAGAAGCGGCATCGTCGAAAGGCGCCTGCGGCAGACCGTTATAGTCGTAGGTACCGCTGGACGCGCGGCTAAGGCTGTTCGGCAAATCTCCGGAGAGCGGACTCTCGCCCATGCTCAGGCGGTTGATGAGTGGGTTCGCCTCTGCCGGCGAGATGGGCGTGCCAGGCTGCTGCTTCCCGAGAAGGGCTGCAGCGGCCGCGTTACCAAGACCACCGCTGAGGGGCGTCGCCGGGACCGAACGAGTCGCCGCGGAGAGGTCCGCGAACGAGGCGGGCGACCCACGGCCCGAGGCGGGCAGACCGGGCGTCGAGAGATGTGCGATGGCGCTGGGCGTGAGCTGCGGGATGTTCGGTGTACCGGATGCGGAGAGGCTACCGAGCTTAGCGCCCGACAGGTCGCCAAGTGACAGAGCGGGGTTCGTCGCCTTGCGCTGTCCGATGGCGTCAGGACGCGGGCTACCGCTGAACTGCGGCCATTCGCTCGGGGGCTTGTCGCGCGGCTCTGCAGAGCGGGGTGCACCGCCGTACGAGCTGCGTTGGCCTGCAGGCGCCCGCGCGAGGTCGAGCGCGGCCGACGATGTCTGAAGCTGCGCATACAAGTCGGTCGGTCAGCACGTGTAGCTATATTGAGGAACGGCGTTCTGATACGAACGTACCTTCGCGAGAGCAGCCTGGTACTTGTCGTCGTCCGAAGTCGGGAGGTGGCGCATGGCATCTGTAGAAACGGTGAGAATGCTTCGATTAATATATTCGATACGTAAATGGACTTACTGTGCATCTCCTCATCCAGTTGCTCGTCGAGCATCATTCCGGCGTTGTAGATGGCGCCGAAACTGGCAGCGTCGCCGTCGAGACGGCCGTTGCGCTGGAAGTACGAAGACTGGCTCGTAGGCAGGGGCGAGTTGCGCTCCTGGCCGATGAGCGACAGGTTATGCAGATGATTTGCCAATTCCACGTCGTCTTCAGAAGCGCTCTGACGACGCGACGCAGGCATGCTCTTCGCCATGGTACGACCGTGGTTGCCCTGCAAGCCTCCAGACACCGATGTCGGAATGTCGGGGGAGCGCGTGACCGGCGCGTAAGTGACAGACTTGCGCTTGTCTGAGCCGTTGGTGCCGACTACGTGTGCCATGTGGTCGACGTCAAGACCGTGCTGGGCGAAAGAGGCTCGCAGACCAGGAGAGACGTCTTCGCCAGCGAGCTGCGCGCTGACGCGCGGGGGCGTGGTAGGCGCCGAGACGGCGAAGCCCTGCATGTCGTTCGCGCGGTCAGCCGGAAGTTGCAAGAGCTCCTGTTGCTGTTGCTGCTCGAGCGCGCGCATCTGGTCTTCGAAAAGTTTGCGGTGAAGCGCGCGCTGACGCTCGTGCTCCATCCGTTTGAGCTCGACGCGCTGTAAGTAATTAAGTCAGAGAACGTGGCAAGCGCGTGGAGGTAGATCACGTACGGCAGCAACGTCGGGCATATTAGTACCCAACCGTGCGGCCTGCGGTCGGATGAGGTCAGCATCCTGTCAACGCGCGCACAACATGCAATAACACGCACAGAGTCTGCCAGATCCAAGAAAGCTGGCGGCGACTGCTTCCTGTCGTCGGTGGGCGAGCGATTATCCGTAGGCGAGGTCGACGGTTGAGGTACGGCGGCCATTTCGGTGAGTTCTTTATAGGTGAATTACGACTTTGTTTTTTCGAAGCTTCCGGAGTTTGGCGAGGTGCGGAGAGGAAAAGAGAGCTGAGAACAAGTTGAAAGAGTAGAGAGCAGCAAGCCTATTGTCACAGGGAGGTACTGGTTGGATCTGTTCAAATGTGCGCTGGCGGGTCAGGAGGAGGTCATGCAGGGGTTAGAGTTATATAACTTACGAGTGAAGCCCGTCTAGAAAGGACTGTTGTTACAATGCGGCTAAGTGGACTACCAAACGGACTGGCGCGGATGGTGGTGGCAAGAAGCGACGCGCGAACCTCCGCTTAAGAGCCCGCGAGCCCGTCCCGCCCTCTTCGCGAAATATCAAGATAATATCCCCGTTAACCGTTTCGGAACTCTCCGCGCCCAGCCGTCCGCGCCACGCGCTTGGGTTCGCCCTCCCGCGCTCGCGGCCACCCTTGCTTCCCTCCTCCCTTCATCGTACAAGTCTCACTCCCATTTGATATTATATTTGACAGCTAGAGCGCTAGCACCTCTACGCCATCTTTGCGCTAAACCTCACAAAGCCCAACTCTCCTGTCTTTCTTCGGAACCGACGAACTTGATTTCTTTGATCCTAACGCAGCGCACGCGGCCGTGTCCGACCTTCTTTCGCCCTGGTGTCTCCATGTCGACTGCGGCCTCATAAGCGAACGAGCTGCCCGTCGCGCCATGCCAGAAAAGATCGCCAACAATGATCCACAACTTCGTGCTGCTAGGCACGGCCTCCTATTCACGATCTTGCACCCTCTTTCTCATCCCCCTGTTCTCGCCATTGGGCCTCATCAAGCCTGCATCACAAACTCAAAACGCTCTCCCTGCAAGCCTCTGCTTCGTTAGACGCCCGCTAGTCCGCGTCATAGACACCTCATACTAACCGCGTCTAAGCCAAAAGCGATCCTATGAGCGCCTGTCTCCTTCGAGTGCCGTCTTTGTCCAAAACGCGCCCGCGCCGTTTCTTCTGAGGAGGCAGGAGGCGAAAGTCCGGTCGTAATCTTACGCGCCTTTGCCACGCGCCGACAAGCGAGGTGGCCGCGCATCAAAAGCCGACGGTGGGCGGCGCTAGGCCTGGCCATCGGTAATCTGAAGGCTGAACTAAGTAACCGCGCCATGCCAGCAACAAGACAACTGTGAACGTGCAAGCCGTACTTCTGGCTTCGGCGGCGGAAGTGCCCACAGTCATACTACTCGCTAGCCTTACTACCGTTGCCTGCACAGTACGTGTGCGGCATGTGTTCGCGAACCTAACGCGCTTTGTCTCGCCTACGCAAGCGAACTCGAAAAGAACGGGTAAATGCGCTGAACCTGAGCTCTTTCTTGTCAATGTAGCGCGGACCTCGCACTCTGCCGATTATTGCATTCTATTGAGCTCGTATCGCGACACCACTGCAACCACAACGGCTATATCACGAACAGGATCAGCTGTCTCGCAACGCGTCCTTGTATGCGCATGCCACAAACGCGAATCCAGAACGACGATCCCCTGGGCCACGGCATCGGGTTCAATAGGCCCGCACCAGGGACGGCGGGCATCAACGTCGTGGTCGACATGCCGCGAAAATCATGCCGTAGGCTTTGCCTCGAGGCCCCGATACGACGTGCCAATGGTGAGACTTCAAGACAAGAACGTCGCCGACGACGGCCGACCCCGCAACTCGTGGCCTACTTCGCCGAAGGATCGTCGCGGACCGGGCGGTGCATAGTACTTGTTGTATATGAAAGCCTGTATGGCGGGACCGCCAGTACTAGCTGCACTCGAGGCTACGAGAAATGGAGCGTATATAGACCAGTGCTATGCTCGAGATTCGGATGTTGCGGAGTGTGTGCGAAGTTCTCCGCGGCAGCGCCGCATCTCCCGACGCATCGCGGCGCCCGTCAAGCGCCGTGCCGTCTGGGAGCGCGTACTTAGTCAACCACAACCTACGCGCAGCGTCTCAACATCCGGCGAAGAAGTGCAACATATCTCAATTCACGGCCGAGAAGATGAGCATCTTTGTGGCTCGATTGGATGTTTGAGGATATGAAGATGGCGCAAGCTTCGAAGCCGCAAGAATGATGGCAGAGGCGTATATGAAAATGGGTGGACGACGCTTGACCCGCAAAGGCAAATAGTCGCCTGCGGACGTCCACAACGAAAGCGGGAAAGCGGGGATCGTAGCCGTGGAATGGAGCCTCCGCAGACGAGGAGGCTTGCGTTAGGGAGTCCGTTGAAGTTGGCTCTACCATCGTTGCGCTGCTTTGGTCATGGTCGGGTCAACGTACCAACATGGAGATACCAAATGTGAAAGAGAGTGAATAGGGCCCAGGGATTTCTGAGCCAGATGGTGGGGACATGGCGTACCTACTACTATCTGCTTCCGCTGGAGCTGCAGTGACTCGTGTGAGGCTCACGGAGCGGTGCCTCTCACAGAAGTTCTGCAATAGAGAGTATTCCCAACGCCGAAATCGAGCCTCTGCGAGTGTGAACTCTTCGAATGATGG